AGGGTTGGACTGGATGATCTTTGAGGTCTCTTCCAACCAGGTTGATTCTCTGATTCTATAATATGTTCCTCCTGATTCTCTCCCCTCTGCACCCACAGCAACAGCCGTGCAGTGCCCAGAGCTCAGCCACTACTCAGTGTGTGCCAGCAGCTGCCCTGCCACGTGTTCAGACCTCACAGCCCCCCTGGCCTGCACCTCCCCGTGCACCGAGGGCTGCGAGTGCAACGAGGGCCACGTGCTCAGCACGGATCGCTGCGTCCCCGTGCAGAAATGTGGCTGGGACGTCAACGGGCGCTACTATGCCATCGGGGAGTCCTTCTGGGCAGCAGCAGACTGCACGGTGGAGTGCCAGTGTGAGGATGGTGGGGAGGCCAAGTGCTTCAACACCACCTGTCCTGAGGGAGAGGTCTGCACCATCGAGAACGGCTACCGCGGCTGCTACCCGAAGCGGGACACGGTGTGTTTGGTGGGGCAGAACCAGGTGCTGCAGACGTTTGATGGCATCACCTTCCCCTATCCGTTGGAGCATTCCTACACTCTGCTCAAAACCTGCCCAGAGAGACCAGAATTCATCGAGGTGGACATCAGCCAGAAGAAACCCGGATCGCCTCCCAACGGGCCGCGCGTCGTGCGGATCCAGGCAGCTGGCAGAGAGGTGAAGATTTCAGGCACCAGCCTGTCAGAGATAAAGGTAAGGTGCTGCCTAGAGACAGGGTGGGAGGTGTGATCCAGTGTCCCTTTGGAGAAGAGCTGTGACCAGACACTGAGGTGGTGCCTCCTGGTGTGATCCACTGTCCCTTTGATGAAGAGCTGTGACCAGACACTGAGGTGGTGGCTCCTGCTGTGTTCCAGTGTCACTTTGGAGAAGGGCTGCAGTCCAGTGGCACTTGGAGGAAGCCCATGTGAACCATCATTGTCTGGAGGCCCTTTAGGTGTCTGTGTAGTTGTTGTCGCAGCTCTGCTATTCCTCTTTGTTGAGTCAGCACTGGAGGCTCTCCTCTCCTCACATCGCAGTTGTCTCCACCTTGTGCTTTCCTTGGAAAAACGTACTCTGTGAGACAAAAAGCAAGGAAACAGTGGTATGCCCTCACTCAGGGGAGGCTCTGGGCCTTGGAGGGTGGGTCTAGGTCAAGAAGTGTACTCAGCACAATGCAGTTGGGCGAAGTCCCATCACCCTCTCTGAAGCATCTACTTGTTCCTTGCAGGTGAACGGTTACGACACGCGGCTGCCCTATTTCCACCCCTCTGGACGCCTGGAGGTCTATCGTAGTGACAACAGCACTGTGCTGGAGTCTGAGGGGCTCCTGGTTATCAGCTACTACGACTCAGGCCTGCTGGAGATTCGCCTCTCCACCGCCTACTTCAACTGCACCGGAGGCCTCTGCGGCCTCTTCAGTGGCAACACCAGCGATGAATTCCTCCTGCCCAAGGGCAAGTTCACAGACAACCTGGAGCTCTTCCTGGAGAGCTGGACCACGTTCGATGAGATCTGCAATGGGGAGTGTGGGGACCTCCTCATGGCTTGCAACAACGACTCGGAGCTTCTCAAGACCTACAGGAGCCGCTCCAACTGCGGCATCATCAACGACCCCACCAACAGCTCCTTCCTGGAGTGTCACAGCGTGGTCAATGTCTCAGCCTACTACAGGACGTGCCTGTTCCGACTGTGCCAGAGTGGGGGCAACGTGTCAGAGCTGTGTGACTCCGTGGCGCGTTATGCCACTGCCTGCAAGAACGCCGACGTGGACATCGGCCAGTGGAGGAGCCACAGCTTCTGCCGTGAGTCCACCAGAGCTTTCAAACACCCAGGGTGGGGAGAAAAGGGGATTTGAAACCCACCAACCTTGGGCAGTTTTTGTTGGGAATTTGTGGGTGTACAGAGGTGGTGCAGCTTTGGGATTTGAAACCCACCAACCTTGGGCAGTCTTTTTGTTGGTACAGAGGTGGTGCAGCTTTGCTTATGGGGTGTTGAAATTACAGGCAGCAGTTTCCAACTGGCACTGGTGCTGTCAGAGACAGATCTCCCAGCGAAGCAGTTTCAGGGTGGCATTTCAGAAGTTTTATGATGTGGTGTAGGAGCATTCCAGAGCTGCAGATGGTGTCTGATGGTACTGTACACCATAACCACCAGAGGATAATTTGAACAACGCTGGTTTTTTAGCTGTGCTATAAACTTGCTGCTGATGGGAGAGCATTCATAATTCAGAAGCAAATGTGAAAAATCCCTAGTGTGGGGGAGGCAGTGCCTGTCTGTTTCAGGGAGGTGTCTGTTTGGGAGCTCTGTCCTTGTACTCTCTGAAACAGCAGGACAAGGTGTTGTTTGGCACGTGACAGGACAGGGCTGTGATGTGAGGACAGTGATGGCTGAGAGGAGAAGGAGTTGCAAAGGGAATGGGAAGAGTCAGCAAGGTGCTGGGAGTGTTTCCCCTCTTACCTTCTCCCCTGAACCAGTCACCTCTCATCCCATTCCCACTTTTTGCCCGTGCTGCCCCACGGCTGCTGGAGCTGGAGGCTCACACACTGTTTGTCATTCCTTCAGCTCTTGCCTGCCCGGAGAACAGTCATTTTGAGGAATGTATGAGCTGTGTGGAGACCTGTGAGACCTTGGCCTCGGGCCCTGTCTGCACGGACACGTGCTCAGAGGGCTGTCAGTGCGACGAGGGCTTCGCCCTGCGCGGCACGCGCTGCATCCCTCGCCGCGAGTGCGGCTGCAACTTCGAGGGGCGCCAGTTGGCCACCAACCAAACCTTCTGGATGGACATCTCCTGCCACTTCCTCTGCTACTGCAACGGCTCTGACAACAGCGTGTACTGCGAGAACGTCTCCTGCAAGGACGACGAGTACTGCCTGGAGGAGAACGGACTCTACTACTGCCACGTCCGCACCGACGCCTCCTGCATCATCTCTGGCTACGGGCACTACCTGACTTTTGACGGTTACTCTTTTGACTTTCAGAGCAGCTGTGAGTTGGTCCTGTGCACCACAATCACTCGGCCATTGGTGGAGCGCTCGGACACGTTCCCGGCGTTCACCGTCACGGCCAAGAACGAGGATCGGGACACCTCTCTGGCTCTGTGGGTCAAACAGGTCGAGGTGGAGGTCTTTAATTACCACATTGTCATCCAGCGTGCCTACAAATACACCGTGATGGTGAGTGTGGGGCCACGAGGGCCACGGTTGTGTCTGTCTGTGCAGCTCCCAAACCACAGAGTGACTTCTTAGGCATGAGACCTCATGGCCTGCAAGGTTTTCTGGGGGTTGGGAGGTGTGGATACTTGGGCTCATCCTTAGGGTGCTGCCAGGCACAGGTTTTGGAGGGTCTTTCCATTTTGGCTGCCTTGTTTTTGGGTGTAGAGGCAAAGCCTCTGGGAGTGCTGAGCTGCCCTTAGTTGTGTCCTCCCACAGCAGCTCTAGTCCTCATTCCCACTCACCGTGCATCATTTCCTTCCCTGCAGATCAACGATGAACGGCTCTACCTGCCCCTGAAGCTGGGCCAAGGCAAAGTGAACATCTTTGCCTTTGGTTTCCACATCGTGGTCGAAACAGACTTTGGGCTGAAGGTTGTGTATGACTGGAAGACCTTCCTGTCAGTCACTGTCCCACGTGCCTTCCAGAACCTCACCTATGGCCTCTGTGGCCGCTACAATGGCAACCCTGAGGATGACCTGGTGGCTGCAAGTGGTGCCCAGGCCACCAGCATTGCTGAGTTTGTCCAGAGCTGGGCCAAGAGGGATGCATTCTGCCGTGTTGGCTGCGGCGACCGCTGCCCTGCCTGTGGGAAGGTGGAAGGATTCTGGAAACCCCAGCAGCTCTGCAGCCTCATCCCGAGCCAAAGTGGTGTGTTTGCCAAGTGCCACAGCAAGATCAACCCTGGCTTCTTCTACAAGAACTGCCTCTTTGACACCTGTGTGGACGGGGGAGCCATGCAAACAGCCTGCAGCTGGCTGCAGAATTACGCCAGCACGTGCCAAACGCAGGGGATTGCCATTACTAGCTGGAGGAACTTCACCTCCTGCTGTAAGTGCCACCTTGCCTCCAGGTTCTCCTTTTCCTGGGGTGCCAGGGAGGGGGTGGCCCACAGCCAGCAGCTGGTTCCTCCCACGCTTGTTGGGTGAGGTTGAGGTGTGGGAGCAAGCCTGAGGCACTATATTCTCTTAGAGCTGTTACAAACTGCATGTAGTACAGCAGGGTGGAAGAGGGGAAACCTCCAGCTCAGAAGGTATCAGCCATCCCTCCATTGTTAAGCAGGAATTACACTGGTTGGCTTCGAAGGCAGGAGGATGTGTTTGCTCCAACGAAGCTGCAGCCTCGTGTCGATAAGATTACGATGTGCTGTTCAATTAGGCTCCTGAGGATGGGGACTGCATGCCTGTCTGGCAGCCAATCTATCTGGCAAATCAGATGGGAAGTAATTGTCTTTGCTAACAAGACTGAAAAATTAAATTTGTGTTGTTTTTCCCTTCTAACAAGCGAGCTCACGTCCCAGCAGCACTGCTCTCACTGGGTGGGGAGGCCACTGAGTGTGACAGGCCCAAATTGGTCCCTGGTGGCACGTCAGGTCGGCAGTGTCCATGGAGCTAATCTGTGTTTTGTCCTCTGTTAACACCACAGCTGTCAGCTGTCCCCCCAACAGCCACTATGAGAGTTGTGTGTCCCTGTGCCAGCCCCGGTGCGCTGCCATCCGGCTCAAGAGTGACTGCAGCCACTACTGCGTGGAGGGATGTCAGTGTGACCCTGGCTACGTCCTCAACGGCAAGAGCTGCATCCTGCCCCACAACTGTGGCTGCTACTCGGATGGAAAATACTATGAGGTATCCTGTTCACATCCTTCTCCTTCTCTCAGGGGTTGTTCCCACTCTGTGCTGTTTGTAGGCAAAGTTTTGAGCCTGAGTGGGGATAACGGGCTGTCACTGAGAGTGGAGGAGAGGGATGTCCTTCCACCTTTCCATCCCCAAAAAAATCATCCTGTGGCTGTTGGGTGAAGGTGACACAAGTGTCAAGCATGGGAGAGAACTGACAGAGGCAGGATAAAGGTAAAAGTAGTGACTGGGATGACTTTTTGAGTGCCGAAGTCCAGTACTATGTGACCACACAGTTCTAGGTATTCCACACATGACAGATTTTACTTGACATGAAATTTACTCACAAATGTCACTTGGGAGTTGGCTGCAGCAGAGTGCAGCTCGTATTGTAGTGGGTTGCATTTCATGGCAGTGAAACCCACCTGTGTAAGTTGTCTTTGCCAAGACCAACACCCACAAGGAGCCAGGATTGGGGTGTGCTGTCATGCCATGTCCCTAGCAGGCAGGTTGGCAGCCAGCAGGGTGCAAGAAGTCAAGGAGGTATTTGGCACTGTGGGTTTTGTGTGTGTGCAAGAGGCAAGGGAGGTGTAGATGTTCAGTTGCCTCATTGCAGAGATGTTGCAAGGTAGGTGCGAGCTGCCAACGTGTTGTGTGCACCTTCTGCTGTCCTCATTGCCTGGCCCAAAAATCAACAGAGGATTGGGAGACAGAAATAGGGCAGGAGTTGCCCACCCTGCCAGCTGGTGATGGATCCCTCTGGTCCTTCTTTCAGCCCAAGCAGCTCTTCTGGAACGGGGACTGCACCCGCCGCTGCCGCTGCTTCCGACGCAACCTGATCCAGTGCGACCCGCGGCACTGCAAGTCGGACGAGGAATGTGCCCTGCGCAACGGCATGCGCGGCTGCTTCAGCACCAGGAGCTCCTTCTGCCTGGCCGCGGGCGGCGGCGTCTTCCGCACCTTCGACGGCGCCTTCCTGCGCTTCCCGGCCAACTGCGCCTTCGTCCTCTCCACCATCTGCCAGAAGCTGCCTGACTTCTCCTTCCAGCTCATCATCAACTTCGACAAGTGGTCCTCGCCCAACCTCACCATCATCTCCCCTGTGTACTTCTACATCAATGAGGAGCAGATCCTCATCAGTGACAGGAATACTGTCAAGGTAAGGTCTTGTTAGAGGTGGCCACTTTGTCTGGAGCAGTGATGTTGGAGTGGTGGTAGCAGCTCCTGAACAGAGTGGGATGGCACTCAGGGTTGCATGATGGTTTCCACCAGACAACTGGCAATGTTTTCATGGAATTTTAGGAGTTGGAATGGAGCTTAGAGATGATCCAGCCCCAAGCCCTGCCCTGGGCAGGGACACCTCCCACCAGAGCAGGTTGCTCAAGGCTCATCCAACCTGGCTGTGAACACTGCCAGGGTTGGGGCAGCCACAGCTTCCCTGGGCAACCTGGGACAGTGTCTCACCACCCTCACCATAAAATACTTTCACAGCTGGGATAGTGGGAAGAATTCATGGAACAGCTATGAGTAGCCACACTCACATCCCCATAGTAGAGGATGTAAGAGGGACATCATCTTCATGTCCTCTCTCACACCAGGTGAACGGCAGCCACGTGAGCATCCCCTTCGTCACGGGGCTCTCCACAAAGATCTTCAGCCAAGAGGGTTTCCTGGTCATCGACTCCAGCCCTGACATCCAGATCCGCTACAACGGCTTCAACGTCATCAAAATCCCCCTCGGGGAGCGGCTGCAGAACAAGGTGTGCGGCCTCTGCGGCAACTTCAACGGCGACATGACGGACGACTACGCCACGCTGCGGGGCAAGCCGGCGGTCAGCAGCGTGGTGCTGGCCCAGAGCTGGAAAACCAACGGCATGCAGAAGAGGTGAGCGGTCAGGGGAGCGGGAGCGGGAGCGGGGCTGGCCACCACGGGAGGCCCCGCGACGTGTCCGGGGCCCACAGCTGCAACGAGCTGCAGTACTCGCAGTACGCCGCGTCCTGCGACAACGTCCAGATCCAGGAGCTGCAGAGCGACAACTACTGCCTGAAGCTGACGGATATGAAAGGATTCTTCCAGCCCTGCTACGGTCTGCTGGACCCAGTGCCTTTTTATGAGTCCTGCTTTCTGGATGGTTGCTACAACCACAAGAAGA